ACAACAACTTGATGTCCTTACCTTCTGCGGATGAATGGTATAGGATCATTGATTGACTTCCTAACAATAAAACCCCAGAACTCTCAAAGATTTCAAATGAAATGTTAAAACATTTAAGACCAATCGCAAAGAAATGTCTATGGTACATTATTTGTGACTGTTTGCAAATTTCGTCAATACCTCATTGGAATTTAGCATATATCTATCCAATCTCCAAACTGAAATCTTGAGAATATGACTTAAATAATACCTATCTAATCACTTTATTAGAAAGCGCTGGAAAGGCTTTATTCGACTGCTCAATTCAAGACTTGCTGATATCTTTGTATAATATAATATCCTTAAAGGATATAATTTTGCAGGCTTGCCCTTTAAATTCACTTTTTTACCCTATACATCTTTTTAACAATATTAATCAGAACGCCATTTATAATAACACCGAATTATGGGTCCTTTTACAAGATATGTCTAAAGAATACGATCATGTGAATGTCTTCACTCTTGCTGCAGCTCTTGCAAGATTACGCCTTCCTTTTAAATTCATCCACACAATTTTGAGACTATTTCTTTCTAGATTCAACCAAGTTTTCACAGCTCATGGAAATTCTGATAAATACTTGGTACATTCAGGAATAGATCAAGATGAAGTTATCTCACCACTTTTGTGGTATATACTATGACCCACTTTATGCACTATTAACAATTCTCCGCATAGTTTCGTTACAGAAGTCGAATGGCATCCTGATGCTCAACTTCCCATTACTAATAATTCTCGTCTAAAGATTTCAGCCTTCACCTATATGAATAATACCCTCTGGCTCGCTAAATCCAGGAAGGATCTCATAAATATTATGTCTATTGTAAATAGTTTCTTCGCTTTTAACGATATACAAGTTAATTGGTCAAAATTAGAACTCCTGGTTAACATTTTCCAATAATATCCTTTTGATATCAGTCATGATAACATTATATGGTCGATCAATGCTCTTTTCCCAAAAGCTAGTATTCGTTACTTGGACGTTTAGATCTCACTCAAGTCTAACAAGAACTTTATTTATAATCAAATACATAGCAAGATCAAGAAGGCTATTATCATTATGAAACATAAACGTCTTACAGACTCACAATTAATTTATATTTTTAACACCATTCTCCTTCTGCAAATCAAGTACAGGTCTCAACTCACATTGCCGCCTGAATTACAATGCAAAAGCTTTGTCACTACCTACTTAGTTTTCATTAAAAGGAAATTAAAACTTTTCTGACATATCCTGACGGACTTATTCTATTCTCATTATTTTTATAATTTGACTTCACTATATCAAAGACTAATCTAGAACTTCAGCAATGCTCTTCTGCAAATGTCCAATAAAAATAATGTACTTAGAAAATCGTTTTATTTACGTATCCTTCAACTTCAACAGAAAGAATGGCTCTTTGATAGTCCTCTTTTCTATTGACCGTTCTTAAAAACAACACAAGCTGATGACTGGCTCTCATCATTCCTTTGTGACCTCAACTTAATGAAGCTCAAACTTAATGTACCCTCAGCTTTGTCGAATAGAATCTTAGGAGGGATTTCCTAATTTCTGATTTTATTCATAATGATTACAGAAAGCATGCCCCTGGTTTACGAAAATTCTCACTGCTTTTTATAGAGCAACTTACTAACTATCAAGGAAACTACATATTCTCTTTTCGTGATCTGTATACTATCACACATCTAATCACCCGTAGATTTCAAACTCCAAACTGATATAAGGCCTTAGAACTTCATCTTAATCTTGATTAAGACAGAAGATTATCGTCTACAAATAATTTTAATCACAAGTACTATTATAGTTACTCTATTACTCGTCTTGCCTATTCCTACCATACCTTTGAGTTTGCGGTTAGTTAGCATTCTCTGGTCAATTACTTTCTCCTAGGAAGAATTATTAGAATCGATCAAGACACAGTACATCTAATGCATCACCTACCAGAAATTGGACCTAATCATATAACAGTCCTTAATCCTTGTGTCTGTTGTCAAATTCATCAGAAATCTGCTATTAAATTTAGAGGCTGTTATGACAATTGTTGCTTCAAGTTACTCTTTTTCTTTATGCAAAAATTCCAATATCATTTAAAAATGATCGTATTGATCAAACTCATAATGTTCAGTCTAACAGCGCATTATATGAACTCACCTTAACCTGTTTTTTTGAAAAACAGTAACCAAAGTCTATTTGCAGTCCTAAAAAATTTTACTCTACCTACTTTCACAAATTTATTCGATAAGTATTTGTTACTTCTATTTAATTCTCGATTATTAATTCTATCTCATTTTTTTTTATCCTCTTCTGTTTTAGAATTTTATACAAATGGATTCTTGCAAGATTTAGGTCTTCCTTCGATAAGAATGGGTATTACCTGGCTTCAAACTTACCAAAGTTTACCAATAGTTTTCTTTTCTTCTGCCTTTACATCTTCTTTTCCTTCCTCTTCATTACCTGAATTTGCAGCTATTTTTACTGCTCTACTCACAGCTCCCCCCTTCTATAATGTTACTTTTTTTACTGATTCAACTGTTATCATTTCCCAATTCAACAAATACAAATTCCTCCTGACAAAAGCTTCCACTATTCGCCCTGCTCTCAAAATTAATAATTATATGCATTGGTCTTGTTTTTTTGAAATAATGGACACTCACAACCTCACTGTCAATATAATTAAAGTCAAAACTCACGCCGATAATATCTTCAATAACAAAGTCAATGCTCTAGCAAAATCCTGTTTAGACTCTACAGCCCTTCAACTTTATATGAATAATGCACCTTGATGCTATTTCACACATAATAATGCTTCAGTTTTAATACCTATCAGACAATTTTGCAAAGAACTATTCTGTGAATATTTTATTTCACGTTTGCTTCAACTCTCTGTCTTAGCAAAACATTCATGACTTTATCAAATCAACTGGTTCGCCACTTCCTTCATACTCAATAACAATACAGCATCACAATCTACATTATATTCTGCTTCCTTTGTTAGAAAAATGAAATATCAACGTCTTCTTGAAATGTTACCCACTTTTGAGATTCTTAAATTACAACATCCATCTATTTATGACCCCTCGCTCTTGTGTCTCAGATGTGATACCGCTGACGAAAACTTCTATCATATATGGATGTATCCCACTGTCAATTATGAAATAAAACAGATAATTAAACAATCTAAATGTTACTTGAAAGATATCACCCATGCACATGATTATGAAATTGATCAGTTGAATTATTGGCTACTTGATACCTATAATACCTCAGAATTTTCGCTCTTATCAGAGGAATTGTTCCAGTATCCCTTTTTAATTTCTTTCTTAAAAAACTTTAATCACAACCCTTAGCCTTAACTTCTTGCTCTTCCTTTATGCATCAAATTTTTGAACTTAATCAAATTGTTTAACGCGATCATTGTCAACTCGTTCATGATTTTGAAAAGTCTCTTAACATTACTCTTGATTTCAAAGCTGCCAATTTTGTTACCTCAGGTTATGATCTATCATCTAACCCTTCTATCCACTCTTTTAGCTCTCTTTCTATATCATCAATGGTACAGATGGAATCCCATTGATCAAATTTTTAGTGCAATAGTGACCTCACCCTCTTTGCTTTCTTCTATATTCTTACTCGAAAAATGATTTTTTTAGTTTAGGTTATAAATTGATTTTGGGATAATGCAGGGTCGGTCTTCTATAATTTTAGTCTTAAATTAGTTCTTTACGAGATTTTTGTAATTTCTTGTGATTTGTATTTTATTTATATATTCTACTTTCATAATAAAGATATTGCGAAACTACTGCACTTTAAAAAAAAAAAAATGTTTATTTTTTTTGTAAGGATTGGCAATTCTAGTTCAGTTGGTAACAATTAAGCTCCTATTGTGGGTTACACTACAATAGCCACAGATTTAAGTCTCAATTGAGGCATAAAACTAGATGATTTTCCTAAGAATTTTATATGTAACTGAATATATAGGCGTATATACTAATATGCGTTAGAAACTGGTCAATCGATCTATTGATCAGCGTTAATCATGCCTAAATACTGGGTTTTGAAAAATAAATGGATGCAAATGAAGTCAAGGATTGACAGAAACTTGGCCTTTACTGATAGGTCTGTAATGGATACTGTCTCACGTCTTCAAATTCAGAAGCCCTTACATAAATAAGAAAGTGATTAACCAGTAATTAGTAGATTGAATATTGCCTACGGGTGGTTATAGTGATAATAGACTATATTGCACTGCTGTAGCACCATCCAATCGAGCTGTCATTAGGGATAGAGGCCAGGTTCAATTTTTGGATGAATTTGATAATATGGGTATGACAGCCACCTATCTTTCTGAGTTTCTATAAGATAAAATAATGTCTAAGCCTTTCTGATCATGTGTAAATTATCCTAATACTAAGCAAAGGTAATGGTGATCCAGATATGGTGTTGGTAAGCATAGGGAAAATCTGACAAAAGTACCTGTGGCTGAAAGTGATTCCTCTATCCAAATTTGATAGTGATTTTGAGGTTTAGGGACCCTAAAGGCTAGCTCTTGGGGAGTCGACCTAGGTGGTAATCTTCAGATCAGTATTACAGGATGAGTTTTGGCTAGAACTAATGTGTCTAGTCACAACTTTGAGAAAAACTTAGGATGAGTCAAGGGTCACACCTCAGTAGTACCATCTGCTTAACGATTTCTTGTATCAGGTACTGAAACTATGAAAAAAAAAATGTTTATTTTTTTTTGTAAGGTTTGGCAATCCTAGTTCAGTTGGTAACAACTGAGCTCCTATTGTGAGTTACACTGCAATAGTTACAGATTCAAGTCTTAGCTGAAGCATAAAACACAGGTCGAATGATGAAGAATCGGAATATAAAGCACCAGTTAAGAGTCAGAATTATGTCAGGTTTGATTCTTTACCGGTTCTTACTTTTTTTTATCATTAAGTAATCAATATACTGATAGGCCTATAAAGTTCGTCCTATAAGATACTGATGACATTTAAAGAATTCCAGGTTTAAATAATTAACAAATTGGTTTTCCGATTACTAATAAATAAATTTTCAGTTTATTGTTAATTAATCGAAAGGTATTGGTAAATTATTGAAAATATCCGATATTTGAAATAATAATATTTGATAACTTCATTATATTAAATAGATATTTTACATTTGTTTGTATGAAATTATATATATAATTTATATAATTTCTATTATATAAAATTATTGTGCCACGTAATAAAATTTAAATATGAATCTTCCTATTAATTGGTATTACCGACATGTAATCTTTGGGATTTTTTTTACCTATTGTAAATGATCCTGCCACAAACCGACCCAATATGCTATGGATCGGAATGATACAATCCCTACTAAGTTCAAAAAACTCATTCTTCCATAGTTTAATATTATAAGAATTATCATCGTTGTTAACCCTACAATGAAATCTAGTTCTATAATCATCTGCCGAGCAGTACCATCTTACAAATGCTAAAGAATGTTTTTTAGATACATCACAGAAATGTACTGTATGCTCAAAATAAAATTGAACGATACTGAGATAAATATCTTTAGTATTCCCATGAACAAATTGGGCTAAGATGTTGGCTGATTTTAAATGCCATTTGGAATATGTCGATCTAAAAATTTCTGAGCCGAGTTGTAATCGTCCATAAATATTTACTTTTAGCATTATTGATATAGAACCAGACGGAGCAATATGAATATTTGACAATACTACGAAATCTTTACCATAAGCGTTGCTATAATATTCGGTTAGCAAAGCTAATATTTCTTTTGTAAGGTTCGTGTCTGCCTTTTTTGGATTAAGAAAAGTATCTGGAAAGGATTCTGATCCTAATCTGACCATTTCTTTCACATTTCTAGACATCAACAAAAACTCTTGGTAATCTATTTCATTGGGTTCATCAAGAACTGTAAGACTTCTTATAGTTTCTTTTGGTGTTATTAATGGTAAACATGCCGATAAATAAATATGATCTTGAGTACATGAAGAATATTGATCGAGAAGGAAATTATATTGAATAGTTTTTGTCAATTCCGGTTCAATCCTTCTATTACTGCTATGATACGAACCTATAAATATAAAACATTTTAATAATTTAATAAATATTGGTAAATTTAAATGATAATAAGAATATTATAATTACCCAATAAACCGTTCATCCGCTCATAGCTAAAACACCAGAATGCATATAATGGCCCATAGTCTAATGCACATTCGCAAATATGCAAACATAGATGCATATTTGGTGTAATCTTCTCTGGCCCATAGTGATTTTTGATAAGTTTGGTCATAGATAAAAGACGTTGATGAGCTTCTTTTAAGCCATTCTTAGATATAGACCTACATACAAGAATATTGCATGCATGAACAAAATTAGCAAGAATCTTTCTATCCGGTTCTTTAAGTAGATCTCATGTAATAAAAGTTGCATAAATTAAAATAAATGTCTTTCACTGGTCCGCAGTAAACCCAGAAAAACCTTCACCTGTAACAATCTTGAATGGAATTCTACCAATATCTGCCGGAATTTTTATAGATTTTGCCTTAGTTTGCATTATTTTTAAATCATTTTGATTTAATCGGCCTTCTTCAATCCATAATCATGTCACTATCCATTTAGAAATACCTAAAAATAAACAATGCATAGGATCTACTATAAGAAATCATACTGAATCAAAATACTGAAGACGGTATATTTCGGACTAACGTACTAAAGTATTACGAACATGGTCTTTTCTGGCTTCATTAGTATTACAATTTAACCACC